GTGCTTCCCCCAGCAGGCTACATCCCAGCCCCTGCACTGCTCCCACCCCTTGTAGGGCCTGAATGGCTCCTTCCCCTCCCCAGATACCCGGAATTTTTAGAAAACAGGCACAACCTAATCCCTGGGCATGCCGGATAACACAGGTTTTACTGCATATAATCCTGAGTACATATGAAATGCACTCTGCTAAAATAGGGGCACTGAGGGTGCGTCTATACTGCACCATAACTCAAAATAAGATACGCAATTTGTGCTACGCAAATTGTGTATTTTATTTCGATGCTATTTCAAAAAAAAGCTTTTTTTGTCATTTGGCACTGTCTTCACAGCATCAAATTTCGAAATAAAGCGCTATTCCGAAACGTCCTTTACTCCTCACAGAACGAGGTTTACAGGAAGGTCGGAACAGAGAACCTGCAATAAAGGGCTTGCTGTGAAGACACGGGATCGCTATTTTGGGATACTCTGGTGTCCCGAAATAACGTTGCAGTGTAGACATACTTTGAGACAGAACAAAGCAAGCCTAGTAGTTGGAATAGAGGAAACTAGAAGTCAGGGACTCCTGATAACTTGGTCTGTTTGGAGTTAGAATGCCCTTTTGAGCAAATCAGTATTTGTAAAACACTTTTAAGATGTGAACTACAAATGTAAATTGTAAGTATCATTACATGGCACTTTCCCAGACTTTAGAAAAAAATTGATTTCACATCCCCTTCCTCTGCCCCACAAAATAAAGACTTTATGTTTCTCTTTCCATTGTCTGCAACACCAAATTTGCTAGTTTTGCAAGTGCTATCCTCAGTTCCACCATCCCTCCTCCGGTTACCTATTAGAAAAGACAGTGGCCATGTTTTCACAATCTGGGCTGGAAACAAATGAAGTTTCAACCAATGTTTAAATCTGAAGGGAGACTCTAGTGGCTGAGTGCTATAGCGCAAGGACATAGCACCTCTTCCTCCTCCACCATAGATCCTCAGCTAGAGGGACAGCAGATACTACCCCCGCTTTCAAGTCAGGGAGCTGGGTGGACAGGAACACCTGGCGATTAACTTCTCCACTCCACTGTGTTTCCATTCACTGTCACTCGGGTGGATGAAGTTAAAGGGTGAAACACTTGTCAGTTTCAATTTGGCAAAGATCTGTGTGTCTAAAATAATAGCCTTTCTAAGCATTGACCTCAGAATCAGGCTCCAGTGTGTGATCACAGGCATGAAGAATTGTAACACCTGTAGGAAATGTATAATTTCAGCTGATTGTTAAATAGACTAGTTTCCTGCTTCACAATATTAACTGTAACCACTCTGATTTTTATGTAGCTCTCATGAAAATCAAGTCTCCTTCCGGATACTGTGCAGTAGAATCTGATTTTGTCAAAACTATCTGTTTGCCATCTGAAAACCTAGTGCTGAGACCCAACTTCCAGTGTGAAGTTTCTGGCTACGGGAAAGAAGACAATTGTAAGTGACTATCATCTTCAACTTATACTGATAGAACGAGGGCATGTGCGACTGGACAAACATGGGACTCTTCTATACTTTTGCTTTTCATTGTTGCAAATCAAGTCGGCCCAGTATACAAAGCTAGGTACTGTGCCATGGTGGGGTGGAGGAGAGAATTGACCAAAAAGTCGGCCCAGTATACAAAGCTAGGTACTGTGCTATGGTGGGGTGGGGAGGAGGAGAGAAATGACCAAAAATTATTTTAATACACAAATTAGAAGCATAGGTAAGTAGGAGTGGTGTTAAGGTGTGGGGTTTTTTTGTTTGGTTGTTTTTTTTTGGTCTTCAACAACAGAACAAGTCAACATGTAGAGCCCTACACAGATGCAAAACTTGTATCCACATCTGCATCCGCAGATTTGAGCCACAGATATCCCCACTGACCTCCACAGATCTGATATCCGCAAATTTGCACAGTCCTAGATACAAATTTTGGATACGAAGCGGATAGCTGCAGCTTGGCAGGGCTCTATCGATGTGATTTGAGCATAGTGTATTAAAGCCAAGTAGTCTCAAACAGTTTTGAATTCATGTGTTTGGAATCCCACTCCTGCTGAGTAGTCTGACTTTGCCCCAACAATCCATAGCTTTCTTCTTCACACCCTCACTTGTTGCAGTTGTTTCTACAGTGTGTGGTCTGTCCCCACTACTGCCACATGCCAGGAGGGGTTTCCATCCCTTCCCTGACAACTCGAGCACCGGTTGGTCTTGGGCTCTTCTATTCTTGGGAGAATCCTTCTTTTAAGCCTTGATAGGAATGAGGAACAAAACATAGGTACTAGTACAGAAGCATATCAACCTTAAAATCAGGATACAGAAGGTGACCACATGAAAAGCAAAGGCTGGGGATTTTCAAGTGCCTCAGTTTGCTGGAGCTCATCTCTAACTCCCTTCCTTTAAAAATCTACCCAATAACTGCAGCTTGCTGCAGTGTGGAAGAGGCACATGTCTAGAGCAGCACTGTTTGTTCATATTCTAGACATTTTAACAGAGCCAAGGTAGCTCCACTGAGACCCACCAAACTCAGACAACCACCTTTTCGCAAGTCAATAAGCCATGCAAACTGGCTGCTTTGATGTGCCCCATCACGCCAACAATGCAGGCGTGTCTTCCTCCTTTAATTCCTCACACATCCTTTCGAGAATTTGAATTTCAGGACCCTCTCTGACTTTCCCTGTCAATTTCCCTTGCTATGCCCCAGTTCAAGGAGGAACTCTCACCAAAATTACTTCACACTTTGCAGACAAGAGTTGGAAGTTAGATTGCACTTCTGCGTGAGTAAAGACTGCAGGTTTGGCCCCAATACGAGAAACTCTCAAGCACTGCTTTTTGGTCAGACTCAGATAAGATTTCTGATTGAGAAACAGAACATTCCAATGGGAAAAAATATATTTTGCACCTTATTCATTTGCTAAAAAGTAAATAAAGATGTAGCAAATCTCAAAATTGATATTTTGCGTGGACAAATTAACTTATTCTGCTGCATGACGAGTGTCCAAAACAGCATGAGGATTTAGGAGGAAAGCCAATCTAATCAAGCTCTTTGTTTGCAGGGGGCATTTACTACTCCCAAATACTAAAGACAGCCAATGTGAACTTAATATCACAGTCGTTGTGCCAGGATAAATACTATGACCCAACGAAGGTTAATGACAACATGATCTGTGCTGGAGATGTGCAGTGGAAGACTGATGCATGCAAGGTAGGAATGTTTATGTGTTGTGTTAAAACCATTTGCTGACCCAGTTTCTCTACTATAATCCACCTGGTCTGTGTTAATGGTACATCCCTGGGGAGGAGCTGCAATCTTTCTCCGTTCCCCCGGCTTCACCTCGTGAAAGAACAGCAATGCTGTTTCATGGCTAAGGGCTAGGACAGCTTCTAGAACTCCTGCATGGCCCCTCATGTTGGAACAGCGGTGGGTGGATGTGCACAGCAGATCAGACTGTGATCGTCTTTATTTGCATTGTCAGGGAGACTCCGGAGGACCGCTGGCCTGTGAGCACAACAGCAGGATGTCTCTGTATGGGATTGTCAGCTGGGGAGAAGGCTGTGCTAAAGAAAACAGGCCCGGCGTTTACACCAAAGTCACTCGATACCTTTCTTGGATTGAGTCCAACATGAAGGAAGTCAGTTTCAAAAGCCGCAGCCTCCCAAAATGGAAGTGACCTGTCCTCGAAGCATGGACCCGAAGCAGGAAGTCTAGCACTCCCCTGAGCCTCCAATCGCAGTACACTGAAACCCTGCATAATAGTTTGGAGTTGATCTGTTGAGTGTTTCTCTCTTGGGGCTTCATTTTAAAAGCCTGTGTGGTTTGTTTTCAACATTCATAGCGGTGTATCTGTAACCCGTATCTCCACTGGCCACTGCATGGAGTGCCTCAAAGCCATTCCATGGGAGACTCAGATTTAACACTGAAATGCGTATTTCCAATTGAGATACTGTATGTATCAAGTTCTATATGTATCAAGTTATCTCCCGCCTTTATATCTGAATCACTATTAGTCACTTTTACAACTACCTACACAAGGTTTATCAACCATCCAGGGAACAGTTTTAAATTTTAACTTTTTGTTAAAAGTTTGTATTTTGTAAATATTTGACCTAAACAAATAATTGTTTTATTTTAACATTTTGAGGTATGTCAGGATACAAACCACAAGGCAACCTATGCTGTGAGCACAAGAAAGAGGATTTTTATCAATGCATTGCTATGGGCTGACTGCAGCTCTGGTTAGACAAAAGAAAAACAGAACCCCGCAGGCACTGCTCCACTTTGAACGACGGTAGCGAAGCAATTAGTGCAGAGTCCTGTACTCCTGAGACATGCTGAATGATCATGAATGTAAATGGGAGTCGTGCCTCCAGAAAGAGCCATAATAGAAGGGCACTTTATTGTAATGAGGTTAGTTAGGGGCTGAGCTGCCAGAAAGCAAGTCGTCATAAATGACCCAAGTTGACGTCCAAACCATCTCTCAGGAATATTTTGGTCTGATCCTGCCAACTCAGCATGTCTATTATGACTGATGGCAAGATTTAAGGATTCAAAAATCAATCTTTAAATCTGCTGCCATACATGCCCATTATAAGTTGAATGGGTGTAAATACCAGAACGTGGTCTTACGTCACTGTTTGGGAGCTACCTCTTTTCCCAAGATTCATAGTACACCAGTGCATTTTAATTTTTAACTAGCTTTTGTTTTATGGACACAATATTTGTATGAGGGCTGGAACCTCTACTGTTATTTAATGATTTTATTTTGTTTAATTTATTGTTTGTATTTTGGGGGTAAAAACTGTCAATAAAAATTGCTATTCCTAAGTGGCTGCTTCTTCTCTTTTCTCTGTACAACAGTTACAAGGGGATGATTTGAACACAGGATTGGGAGCTGCAAACTCCTGGTTCCCATCCCATCTCTGGCTTTGAGCGAATCATGACTTCTGAGCCAGTTGCCTCGTATTTTAAGAGGAGATGAAACAACTCAGAGTTGTTGGATTTTGTGTTTATAGTACACACAAGCAAAGCTACAAACATGCTCAATATTTGATTAGGTCCATCAGCCATGGGTATTGCTCAGGATTCGGAGTGGAACAGGAAGAGGCTTCAGTTTTAAGCAGGAAAGCTAATTAACGATTCTGTCACTTGCATGATATTTAGTCACTGAAGCAAACAGAACCAGATGCCCCCTAGAAAGCTCTTTGCAATATATAGGGAAAGTGTCAGCACAGAAACAGAAACATAACAAGGTCTTTCCTTCCTCACTCTTTTCTATGAGGTTTACTCTAGTTCTCAGCTGCAGGAAGGCAAGAAATGAACCTTAGGAAAACAGAGGTGGAAAAAGATGCTCACTAGCTCTAATAATGGAATTAAAGTACAATTCAGCCGCTTAACCCAACCTTGCTCTCCTTTCAAGCTCACTTTGGGCACATCTAGACTGCCCGCAGATTTCGAAAGAAGATATGCAAATCTGGCATGAATTTTTCCGATCCCTTTTTTGAAAGAGTTTTTTTGGAAAAAAAAAAGCAGTCTAGATGCGGTTCTTTCGGGGGGAAAAACACTTAAATGCCTTTTTTTCTTTTATGAAAAAGGGTTCTTTAGAAAAAGGGTTGTTGTTTTTTTTTTCGGAAGAACCGTATCTAGACTGCTTTTCTTCAAAAAAATTCTTCCAAAAACAGGATCGGAAAAGGAGATGCAAATTTGCACCAAATTTCCATATCTTCTTTCAAAAGCCGCCGGCAGTCTATACATGCCCTTTAGTAAGTACCAAATGTTCAGACTTTTATCCTCCAGTGTTTCTACATGTACCCACTACTGGGTGGATTTGAACCGAGGACCTCTGGAGCCTAGTGTAAGAGCCTCTACAGCTTGAGTTATAAAACCAGCTGGCTCATATCTTAGGCTGTAGAACTTCCTTGTTCTTATCTCTTGCTGTAAGTGGTCTAAGTGCCACTACATGGGACAGTGACCCGCACAAGGTGTGTGGGTTACACACAGATGCCAAGGAATTAGACAACAACCTAGTCTGTATCTGCAATGTACCAACAGCAGCTTCTGCTAAGTCTGGCCAAAAAAAGAGTAAGGCCCCTTTGGTGCCGGCTTCTAGCAGCTATTCAGTACTCATACTTCCTTTTCTTTACAAAGTAACAGCTCTCAATTGCTATCACTGTTCCAGGTCAGAAACCCGTAGACACAAAAGGTCCTCAGTTCCCGGCTGGGGTGCTGTAAGCATCTAGTACTGTCCTTTAAGTAGAAGCAGCAAGTGGTCAGGAGGGCCTGGTGGACATGGGAGATTATTCTCAAACAGGTCTGCAGACAGCTTCACCAGCAGTTGCCTCTGAAGCCACTGGTTTTCAAAGGAAGGCCATGTTCAAAGATGAACTTAAGTAATTCTGGAAAGAATCTTAGGTGGGAGGAAAAAGGCAAAAGAAGATGCATGGACACAAATTTAGCCTGCCCTCCATCTTGCAAAGTGGATCCAAGAGAAGCAGAGTTCAAAGGAGTCTAACTTTCACATCCCTCAGATTGGCTTCAGCTCTTAAAACCGAAGGAGGAGGAAAAGGTGCAACACTAGGAATTAGGGTAGGAAAGGGCTCAGAGCAAGGGGATCCTTATGGCCCTTCATGGATGTCCCCAACACGAAAGGAAGGTAAACCTGCACTTCTACTGGTGAAAGAGAAGCCTTCAAACTACACAGAGATCATCTTCCATGCCAGAGCTGGGCTCTCTCACCAACAGAAGTGGGTCCATGGAAAGAAGAGACTTTGCCCACCGTACCTGCAATATCTGGGACCAACCCAGCTACAGAACTGTCAGCACTTACTCACTTATAGAAATTATTTTAGCCAGAGAGGAGGTGCACTTGTGCTAACAGCAACTAAGTTCTAGTTGTGGCTCTTCCCAAATCAATAGCTCTTTTTCGGGGTGGGGGGACACACTGATACAAGGAACTTTGTGCAATGTATTCATTTTTAAGAGGGTAAAATCCAGAACTAGATTTGAATTTCACCCGCTGTCTGCCTCTGTAGCCAGGCCAATAAAGTTATTCAGGGACTGCCCTGACAAGCACCTAAATGAACAAAGACATCCCCGCTCAGTGCAACAGCCAACAGACCCTGTGGATCTCAGCACGCTGCAAGGGCATGGCAGCTTGCATAGAGGTCTGATTCTTGCTGTGATCCTCTTCCTCTCTCAGAAAACATGCTTTCATCCTTCTCTGCTTGTGCCTGGCAGCTACTGCCCTCAGGCCACGCCTTCACGCCACAGAAAACTGAGGCTGCCACGATTGATCTTCCAGTGGGATTTAGTGAGTCTACTTAAGACTCACTAAATCAAATTCAGGGGGCAAGCCCGTTGGTGTCTGGTTACTCTTGCTCTTGCCAGGAATAAGGGAAGCAGACAGGAACATTTGCTCCCAATGGCCTCCTGCTATGCGGACGCCACCAAGCTTGGCTTAAGGTAGGCCAAGTCCAGCTATGTATTCTACATAGCTGGAGTTGCATATCATAAGCCGAGCTGCCGGGTCTAGTGTAGACCTGGCCTTAGGGAGTTTCCGGGGGGCGTGGGCTTGGAATCCTGGGTATAGAATGTTCACCTCTCAGAACTAAGTTCTATGGACTTGCAGAGAGATGGAATTTGAACTTTTAATTGTGATTTTATTACATATTAAAACAAATAGTCTAAATCTCCGATGAGTGGGGAGTGGGGCCAATAAAAAGAAGCGTGACGCCATATGTGTAACTGACTGCACACGCTTCATGACGGCTCTGTGTTACCCTTTTTGCTTGTAAGTGTTGGTCTTTTGTCCTTTACCATACAATACAGGACTCAGGCCTGAGTATTTTTTAAATCCTTCCATATTCATAAACAAGACATGGTAGGCAAAAGCAAAATGTACACATCACAAAGCTTCCTCTTCTAGAAAGGCCAGTACTGGAGGGCTTAGGCATACAACTGCATGCTTGCGTGTGTGCAAAGATTTGTGGGACAAATCCTGACATCATGACTTTGCCCCAACTTGGCCGAAACTCCCACTGATAGGAGCCGAAGGACTGGCAGAGCTGCACCCAATAAGAATCGGAAACGGATCATATACAGGCACAGGGCAGCCGAAAAGACCAAACAAACACTTGTGAAAGTGACTAATTGTCACTTCTCTTTTGTGCTTCCATATAACACATGGATGAAGACACATACAGCCCCCAGCATGTGAAGGGCACAGGAAACTGGCTGGACTGCTGGAGGAAGTGACACTACTGAATCGATAGGGAGACTGCTTTACCACATATGGAGTATTTTTACTGAAATGAAAGATGGCTCACACTTCAATAAAATGGCTTGTCAATAAGGCGACACGTGGCCGATGAACACCGTCCCCCATTTGTTGCTTGCTCATGGTGTAAACACGTCCGGAGCGTCAGGCACTTTCCCACGCAAAATCCAGAGCGTCAGGCATTTCCCACGGCATGGGACTGTCTGAACCCTGTGCTGGGGGACTGTGTCTAAGCACAGTGTGGCCGTTCAGTCACCAAGCCTAGGGATCAGTGCTGGGATTGCTAACCAGAGCGCCTGCTGCCGTGTGAGCATTCTGCTCACCCATTCTGAAAGGGGCTACATGCACCCCACTTGCCCTAACGGGGAGAGTCGGTTACCCTGGCCTCGACAGGACTGTAATACGTAACCCAGATATGGAATGCTCATTACTGAATGCCAGGCACATACCCCCGTTTGCAAAGCCACCAAGCCTGCACAAGCGGTGCTGCAGCACAGAATTTAGCACAACCTATTTAAAGTCGCTATGACGGGGGTGGCCATTAAAGTGCAGCTTGCAGAGCCCCCCATAACCTCTTCTATCTATTTAGCAGACTGGGGGAGGGAGCTTGGGGATTCTGCCCTGCAGTGGGATGGTAGGGCTCAGGGCTTCTGCCCAGAAGGGAGGGTGGTTGGGGCATCACTCCGCCCTACAGAAGACACCTGCAAGTGTAACCACCACCAGGCGGATTTGAACGTGGGACCTCTAGAGCTTCATATTGGAGCTTCTACTGTTACAGCTAGCTCCCAGCCTAGGCTGTAGAGGTCTCTTGTTCTTAGCTGTTGCTGTGGTCTAGGTGCCACTTCATGGGACAGTCAACCACACTAGGTGTGTGGATTACACAAGCGCTTGTGGCTCAAGCCCTGCTCTTACTGAAGTCCCAAGTGCCAGCAGGTGCCACTTCTCCCACAAGGCTGAAGCTTGAGTCCCATCACCCTTCTAAGGGGCAGAAGCCCTGAGGGCCTGGAAGGTTCACCCAGCTCTCAGACTTCTGAAGATCACCATATGCAGCTCAGATCAGGAAGTTTGGCCATCCCCGCCTTAGGACAGGTCAAAATCCCCAGGTTTAGGGGAGAAAACTTCAGAAAAAATACAGATCCAAGAAAAAAAACATTACAAATCAAGCACAATTTGCTCTTATTTACATGAACTGGCATTAAGAATAAAACAAAACATGACACAGATGACTAAATTTTACAAAAGAACTACTTCACCAGCAAGTTTTGAAACTGTGATATTGAGCAACTTTGTATGTAATGGTCTTTGAAAAGTGTTTAGGATAAGCTTTTAAAGAGGCCTTGATTGCAATCTCTGAATTAACTTTCAGACAATCCTGTTAATGAAAGTTTTGTAACTATAAAGAAGCAAGGAGCAAACTTCAGTTCAGAGCCACACAACTCAACTTTCTGAATGGGATTCTAATTAGTTGCTTCCACTTCTCATGAGCTGTTTGAATGAATTGTGTATGTTTACTGGCACTGAAAGAGAAAGAATGTCCCTCAACAG